TGATGGCTGTGTCGCAGAGCTGGTGAGTTCTCCCTACTGTTTAAACCTTTTGTACCTGTACAATATAAACTATTTCTTATATAAAATGGAGTCAATTTTTTTTAGAATGAGTTTATCGTAAATTTCAGATTGATGAAATTAGATGCTCATCAATTTCTACTACTGAATGACCTTATTTATGTATATAAGTAATTATCTCAACTAGTTATGACTGTTCTCACATCTCAAATTAACAGTAAACAAAGAGTAATTAGCAACACCCAACACCGACAGTTAATATTGTCACATAATAATAATTTACGGTTTATTTACGAAGATCAACAGGCAGGAAGTATATTGTGTTTGTTTATTACAGTGTGGTGGTGAGGCGTGAGGGAGGCTCCCTTGACGGGTCCTGCCCCTGGTGACTGCAACCTACGCCTCACCAGGGGCAGGACACATTGCTCCTCTACTCAGACTGATCTGCCCAGGCGACACATGGCGAGGACCTCCTGTACTGTTGCTGCTGGTGACTCAAACTGACTCACCTCACGACGCACACAACGGCGTGAGGTGTTCCAACTACCACTATGATGTGACCACAGAGGCTACTACACCTGTAGTACAGCACCAACACCCGTGGTACACCACCTCCACCCGTGGTACAGCACCTCCACCCGTGGTACAACACCACCACCTGTGGTACAACACCTCTACCCGCCACAGTCCACACGGGTGGTGCAGGAGTCATGGGTGTTGTAGGTCCTGCGGCAGGTCTCCAACACCCCTGAAACACAGCAGGACTCCACCTCCTGCTCTACTCAGCGACTCCAGGCAGCCTCCATCAGGAGGTCCTGACGACTCAGGACTTGTCAACGAACCATTTCCCTCACCTCACCTTGTGTTGTTGACACTGCAGTATTGTATTACAGCAATATGTAAAACTAATCATTTATTGTCTATCATTCCCACAATTCATCAGAATGTTGTAATATCACATCATCACTTGTCAAGGGTGTTCATACATTACCATAAAAGTAAACAAAGTTTTTATCATATTTACATTTACCACCCCCCCCCCTTGGCTGTGATCTAATGGTTGTTATTTCTGACTTTTTATTTCTATTCAATTCAAATTTCAATAAAAAATAATATTCAAGGATAATTTACTTTAAATTCCTCCTCTTATATAAATATGGTCGACATTAAGATGAGAGACACTCGTGCTAACTTACACCTAGAGACTCAAGTGTGTTAAAAAACTATTATGAGAGGAATTAAATATAGAAACCCAAAGAAACAAATTCCTAAAAGAACGACAATGATGAGGAATATTAACTGACAAAAATATGAAGAGATTAACGAAACGAAACATGACAAGGAAATACGAAATAAAGAAGAGGAAGAGAAACGCAGATGAAACAGATGAAGTAAATGGGTCGAAAATATATCACCAGAACTAGAGAGATTTGAGTTACTTCAAGACCTCGGTAAAGTAAACCTCATGAGAGAGAGAGAGAGAGATCTTTAGTCGTGATGGAGGGAGAGAGTACAGGAGCTGGCGGTGGGAGATACTACTTTAAACACAGTATCGCTTCAACCAACTAAATTTGGATTTAGGCGCGAAATAGGTAAACATTGGTTTAGAAATAGAGTAGTGGATGAGTGGAACACGTTACCAAACATCATCATTAACTCAAATACGCTGGATAGCTTCAAGCATAGGTTGGATGGGTATATGAGCAATTGGGACTGCCCAGTATGGACCAATAGACCCGCTGCAGTTTCCCCCATTGTGTTAGGATGGTTGAAAATGCACCAAATTGGAAGACAAAGTTTATTGGGTTCTATGGGAATTCAAATTAAAGTTGAAAAATGGTACGGTCACCTGATTTAACGGTCACCTGATTTAACGGTCATCTGATTTAACAGCACCTGATTTAACGGTCATCTGATTTAACGGGCCACTGATTTAACGGTCACCTGATTTAACAACATCAGATTTTTTCTTAAAAGATTATCTGAAAAATAAAGTCTATAACGCCACAGACCTGCAAACTTAAGAGCTAAAAGGCAACATTCGACAGTGCATTAATGAACTCACAGCAGACACCCTCCGAGCTGCCATGAACAATGTACTGGCTTGATGCTGCAACGCCGAGCTGTCGTTTTGAAGGGCCACCATCTTAAGAGAACCATTTGTCAACATAAGTAATTAGAATTTTCATAGAAGAAACGTTTTGGGGGCAATTTTATGTAATCTCAACCATCCTAACAATATATGTAACCTATCTCTATGGCGTCATGATAATGGTATACCCTGTTATTTTTATATCATTGTATAAATATATTCCGGTATCTTTAAGTTAATGTACTGCCGGATCGCTGTGTTCCTCTTTAGCTTGACGTAATAATAACAAAGAGAACATAAGACACAAACAGATAACGAGGAGTATAAACAAACACACAAACGCCTTAGAGAACAGGGACACATCTTGACCCTGAGACCCACAGGTGCATCTCTGAATGGTCATGATAACGATGACCTACACATCTCCCCTATAAGACTTCATAATAGTTTCACCTATAAGTCTGTTCTATGTTTCAACTTTAATTGCCCTTGACCTTTTGACCCTTAAACAGCAATTGCATATCTTTAAATAGTATTGATGATTTATTTTCACTTTTAAATCGATCTATTCTGAATTATAAGACTTTTTTGGGGCACAAGGAAAATATTTTCATCAGTATTCTTAGCAATAATAACTTTAACCTTTGACCTCGCGACCCCTGGAAATTTAATTCACATCTCTGAGTGACATTGATAATGACCGTGAACTTAGTGACAATTTTGGGTAACAGCAGGAACTAGAAACAAGGCAATTTAGTAGAAATGGTTTGTTTCTCTCCCATTAGTGAGAAAGGAGTCACACACAACATGACTCAACCACTCGCCTGACACAACTTACACCACTTAACATACAAATTACTCACCACACTTAACACACTTTCTGATACTTATAAATCTTAAGTAACTTGTAGCAATGTAGAGATAGAGAGAAAGCGAGAGAGAATTAATACCATATTTTATATATAACTTTCATACGTCATCACCAGACACAACACTAAACGCCTTCAGGCAACAGGTGAGACAACAGGCAGGTTCATGTGATAAATAAGGACTTGGACGGAACAATATCACCTGGGTGACGTCACTGGTGACGCGCCACTTCACTGAGTCAGGGTCGCCACACAGCGCAATCCTCCCACCCGCCACCACCAGCCTTCCATTCTTACACCATCTAACGAAACTAGTTTGTGGCAGCGACGTACTCGATCACATATAAGGCGGCTCCCACTACTTACCAGACACAGTACAACTCCGACACCAGATCAGTGATGGCTGTGTCGCAGAGCTGGTGAGTTCTCCCACTTGTTCACACCCAGATCTACCTATACAATATAAAATATTTCTTATTTGCATGAAAAAGTCACCCTTATAAAGAATTAGTTTATCGTAAATCCCAAGTTGATACAATACATACACTTCAATTTCTACTAATGATGTCATTAGTATTGTAAATTTGTAATTGTCACAACTAATTACGTGTGCGATATCCATTTACCAGTAATTGGCATCACTTTTAATACTCACAGTTAATATTGTCATATAATAATAATTTACGGTTTATTTACGAAGATCAACAAGCAGGAAGAATATTGTGTTTGTTTATTACAGTGTGGTGGTGAGGCGTGAGGGAGGCTCCCTTGACGGGTCCTGCCCCTGGTGACTGCAACCTACGCCTCACCAGGGGCAGGACACATTGCTCCTCTACTCAGACTGATCTGCCCAGGCGACACATGGCGAGGACCTCCTGTACTGTTGCTGCTGGTGACTCAAACTGACTCACCTCACGACGCACACAACGGCGTGAGGTGTTCCAACTACCACTATGATGTGACCACAGAGGCTACTACACCTGTAGTACAGCACCAACACCCGTGGTACACCACCTTCACCCGTGGTACAGCACCTCCACCCGTGGTACAACACCACCACCTGTGGTACAACACCTCTACCCGCCACAGTCCACACGGGTGGTGCAGGAGTCATGGGTGTTGTAGGTCCTGCGGCAGGTCTCCAACACCCCTGAAACACAGCAGGACTCCACCTCCTGCTCGACTCAGCGGCTCCAGGCAGCCTCCATCAGGAGGTCCTGACGACTCAGGACTTGTCAACGAACCATTTTACCTCACCTCACCTTGTGTTGTTGACACTGCAGTATTGTATTACAGCAATATGTAAAACTAATCATTTATTGTCTATCATTCCCACAATTCATCAGAATATTGTAATATCACATCATCACTTGTCTAGGGTGTTCATACATTACCATAAAAGTAAACAAAGTTTTTATCATATTTACATTACCCCCCCCCCCTCTTGGTTGTGATCTAATGGTTGTTATTTCTTGCTTGTTATTTCTATTCAATTCAAATTTTAATAAAAAATAATATTGAAGTATAATTTACTTTAAATTCCTCCTCTTATATAAATATGGTCGACATTAAGATGAGAGACACTCGTGCTAACTTATACCTAGAGACTTAAGTGTGTTAAAAAACTATTATGAGAGGAATTAAATATAGAAACCCAAAGAAACAAATTCCTAAAAGAACGACAATGATGAGGAATATTAACTAACAAAAATATGAAGAGATTAACGAAACGAAACATGACAAGGAAATACGAAATAAAGAAGAGGAAGAGAAACGCATGATAAGAACATAAGAAAATAAGGAGTCTGCAATAGGCATGTTGGCCTGTGCATGGCAGCTCCTGTCAAGAGTTACTCCCACTCTCTATCATCCATGAATCTATCTAGCCTCCTTTTGAAACTTTCCAGAGTTCCCGCACTTACTACAAAGTTGCTAAGCTTGTTCCACTCGTCCACAACCCTATTTGTGAACCAGTTTCTTCCTATCTCCCTCCTAAACCTAAGCTTATCCAACTTGAATCCGTTGCTCCGAGTCCTATCCTGCTCGGATATTATAAGAACTTTATCTATATCCCCTTATTGATTCCTTTCACCCACTTAAATACTTCTATCATATCTCCCCGCACTCTTCGTCTTTCTAGGGAATGCAAGTTAAGTTTCTTTAACCTATCCTAATATGGAAGGTTTCTAAGTCCCGGAATCATTTTTGTCATTCTTCGCTGCACCGACTCTCGTGAATTTATATCCATTCTATAATAGGGGCACCAGAACTGGACCGCATAATCGAGGTGCGGCCTGACTAGCGCAAGATATAGTTGCAATAAGACCTCTGCACTCTTGTTACTTACAGTTCTGGATATAAAACCCAATACTCTGTTTGCCTTGTTTCGAACATTAACCCACTGTTTTCTAGGCCGTAGGTCCGGGCTTACAAGTACCCCTAGCTCTCTTTCACAAGTCGACTTCTCTAGGTTGATGTTGTTAAGGCTGTATACATTATAAGTATTTGTTCTTCCAATATTAAGTACGCTGCACTTGCTGGTGTTGAATTTCATTTGCCATTTTTCAGACCATCCCTGCAGTTTATTTAGATCCTCCTGTAATGCATTTGCATCCTGCCCTGAATTAATTTGCCGCCCTATTTTGGTGTCATCCGCAAACTTGCTTATGTCACTGCTGATCCCAGTATCTAAATCGTTTATGTAGATTATGAACAAGAGTGGGCCTAGTACTGACCCCTGGGGAACCCCACTGGTTACACGGCCCCACTCAGATTTAACACCATCTACGCTGACCCTCTGCGTTCTATCGGTGAGCCATGATTTTATCCAATTTAAAACTTTCCCCTCGATACCATGAGCCTTAATTTTTCTCAGAAGCCTCTGATGCGCTACTCTGTCAAATGCTTTGCTAAAGTCTAAGTAAATAACATCGTAATTTTCGTCATTATCTACTACCTCGAAGACTTTCCTAAAAAACGTTAGCAGATTTGTTAGACAAGATTTTCCCTTTGTAAACCCATGTTGAGAGTCGTAGATTAATTTGCTTCTCTCTAGATGCGATCGGATGCTATCTGCTATAATTGATTCAAGAAATTTCCCCACTACTGACATCAAACTGATCGGCCGGTAATTTGACGCTGATGCTCTGTCTCCCTTTTTGAATATGGGTACTACATTTGCCTGTTTCCACAAGTCTGGCACAACTCCAGTGTCTAATGATTTTGTAAATAAGTTTACGAGGGGTTCGCTAATCTGTTCCCTACACTCTTTCAAGACTCGAGGGAAAATTTCATCCGGCCCTGGGGATTTTGTTTTCTTTAGTTTATTTATCTTCTTAAGAACATCCTCTTTTCTGATAGTGATATTCTTTAATTTCTCTTCTTCCTTTTCCTTAAATATCAGTTCCACCTCTGGAATTTCATCGCAAATTTCTTCTGTGAAAACTGATAAGAAGTAGCTGTTCAATGCTTTGCTTATTTCTTCACTGCCATTTATCAATTCTCCCCTCCCTGACTCTAAAGGCCCAACTTTGTCCTTGACCTTTGTCCTATATACCTGGAAAAATCCCTTGGGATTCGCCTTGGATTCTCTTGCTATTTTGATTTCATAGTCTCTCTTTGCTTTCCTTACATTTTTCTTAACATTCCTAGATAGTTCATTATACCTGTTTCTGAGATGCTCCTCCCCTCCCTTTAATTTCTTATATATTCCTTTCTTTATTCCTATGTCATGTTTAAGTTTTCTGGTCATCCACCTTGGCTCATTCTTATTTGACCTAATTTTTCTGTATGGTATATTTTGTTCCTGTGCTTTATGTAGTATACTAGTGAATATATTATAGTCATGATCAATTGTTGTGTCATCTATGACCTCACCCCTTCCTACTGGGAACTGACGTGACTGTTCCCAGGTCACCTCACCTAGGTACCTTCTTAACCCCTGATAATCCGCCAACCGAAAGTTTGGGACTCTGACCATATTGTCATTGTTTTTCGTTTCCCAATTTAGGGTGAACCTGATTTCTCTGCGATCACAGATGAAGTAAATGGGTCGAAAATATATCACCAGAACTAGAGAGATTTGAGTTACTTCAAGACCTCGGTAAAGTAAACCTCATGAGAGAGAGAGAGAGAGATCTTTAGTCGTGATGGAGGGAGAGAGTACAGGAGCTAGCGGTGGGAGATACTACTTTAACACAGTATCGCTTCAACCAACTAAATTTAGATTTAGGGGCGTAATAGGTAAACATTGGTTTAGAAATAGAGTAGTGGATGAGTGGAACACGTTACCAAACATCATCATTAACTCAAATACGCTGGATAGCTTCAAGCATAGGTTGGATGGGTATATGAGCAATAGGGACTGCCCAGTATGGACCAATGGACCCGCTGCAGTTTCCTCCATTGTGTTAGGATGGTTGAAAATGCATCAAATTGCAAGACAAAGTTTATTGGGTTCTATGGGAATTCAAATTAAAGTTGAAAAATGGTACGGTCACCTGATTTAACGGTCACCTGATTTAACGGTCATCTGATTTAACGAGCCACTGATTTAACGGTCACCTGATTTAACATCAGATTTTTTCTTAAAAGATTATCTGAAAAATAAAGTCTATAACGCCACAGACCTGCAAACTTAAGAGCTAAAAGCCAACATTCGACAGTGCATTAATGAACTCACAGCAGACACCCTCCGAGCTGTCATGAACAATGTACTGGCTTGATGCTGCAACGCCGAGCTGTCGTTTTGAAGGGCCACCATCTTAAGAGAACCATTTGTCAACATAAGTAATTAGAATTTTCATAGAAGAAACATTTTGGGGGCAATTCTATGTATTCTCAACTGTAGTGATGGGTTGTCAGACCACAGCTTAATCTCAGAAACTCCAGACTTGACCCGACATTAGGGAGGTCAAGTGTAGGGTAACTCTCACGGTTGACCGGGGGTTATAAATCAGCCAGGCTCCCCTTCCCATGTCACACGGCCAACAAACATGTAAGAAGGCACCAGCCGACTCTCTCCCAATATACACAATATCCTACACCGCAGAAAGAAGTCCACACTTGACCCGATATTAGGGAGGTCAAGTGTAGGGTAACTCTCACGGCTGACCATCTGATGACTTTCCCAGAAGATACAACTTATAGTCTCTGAAAAAGTCCAGACCTGACCCTACATTAGCAAGGGCAAATGTAAGGAGATCCTTCGCCGCCCCCCCCGATCAGCTCAACCTGACGGCTCGCCTCCCAATATATAGGACGTCCTAGTCCTCCCTCAGAGAGATACCCGGACCAGAGAGAGACAGAGATACCCAGACAGAGAGGCACACAGGGATCGGAGGAGGAGGTCCACCACAGCCGAGTCCCGCTCACGGGAGGAGAGTCATGCAGGACTTCCCTCCCCGACTTCCCTCCGGTGTCCCAGCTAAGCAGTCGCCCTCCCGACACCAGTGTCCCAGCTAAGCAGTCGCCCTCCCGACACCAGTGTTCCAGCTAAGCAGTCTCCCTGCTAGGCCTTCCTCTAGGTCACGTGAGTGTTTGTCAGAGCTTTCCGTGGGGTGAGTTACTTATGTGGGAAGTGTATTCATTTCAGGTCCGTGTCCGAGAATCAGTGTCTAGTAACGTAATATGATGTCCTAGTAACGTAAATATAATGTCCTAGTAACTTCAATAGAAGGTGTTATTAATGTGTCCATGTCATGTTCGTAATTAATAAAGAGTTGTAACGAAGCAGTGTTTGAGAAGTCGCCCTTAAGACGTAATAGATGTGTATTGACGTAGAAGATACGATAAGTGTACTGACAGTGTAAATAACTATCACGGCCACGCTACCAAAATCCTCCTCTCTTTTATACTCTTATACTATCAATATTCTACCTATATGTAATCTTCTTCTTGTGAGATTTGTCTCATTACACAACCATCCTAACAATATATGTAACCTATTTCTATGGCGTCATGATAATGGTATACCCTGTTATTTTTATATCATTGTATAAATATATTCCGGTGTCGTAAAGTTAATGTACTGCCGGATCGCTGTGTTCCTCTTAAGCTTGACGTAATAATAACATAGAGGAGAGAAAGAGAACATAAGACACAAACAGATAACGAGGAGTATAAACAAACACACAAACGCCTTAGAGAACAGGGACACATCTTGACCCTGAGACCCACAGGTGCATCTCTGAATGGTCATGATAACGATGACCTACACATCTCCCCTATAAGACTTCACAATAGTTTCACCTATAAGTCTGTTCTATGTTTCAACTTTAATTGCCCTTGACCTTTTGACCCTTAAACAGCAATTGCATATCTTTAAATAGTATTGATGATTTATTTTCACTTTTAAATTGATCTATTCTGAATTATAAGACTTTTTTGGGGCACAAGGAAAATATTTTCATCAGTATTCTTAGCATTAATAACTTTAACCTTTGACCTCGCGATCCCCGGAAATTTAATTCACATCTCTGAGTGACATTGATAATGACCGTGAACTTAGTGACAATTTTGGGTAACAGCAGGAACTAGAAACAAGGCAATTTAGTAGAAATGGTTTGTTTCTCTCCCATTAGTGAGAAAGGAGTCACACACAACATGACTCAACCACTCGCCTGACACAACTTACACCAATTAACATACAGATTACTCACCACACTTAACACACTTTCTGATACTTATAAATCTTAAGTAACTTGTAACAATGTAGAGATAGAGAGAAAGCGAGAGAGAATTAATACCATATTTTATATATAACTTTCATACGTCATCACCAGTCACAACACTAAACGCCTTCAGGCAACAGGTGAGACAACAGGCAGGTTCATGTGATAGATAAAGACCTGGACGGAACAATATCACCTGGGTGACGTCACTGGTGACGCGCCACTTCACTGAGTCAGGGTCGCCACACAGCGCAATCCTCCCACCCGCCACCACCAGCCTTCCATTCTTACACCATCTAACGAAACTAGTTTGTGGCAGCGACGTACTCGATCACATATAAGGCGGCTCCCACTACTGACCAGACACAGTACAACTCCGACACCAGATCAGTGATGGCTGTGTCGCAGAGCTGGTGAGTTCTCCCACTTGTTCACACCCAGATCTACCTATACAATATAAAATATTTCTTATTTGCATGAAAAAGTCACCCTTATAAAGAATTAGTTTATCGTAAATCCCAAGTTGATACAATACATACACTTCAATTTCTACTAATGATGTCATTAGTATTGTAAATTTGTAATTGTCACAACTAATTACGTGTGCGATATCCATTTACCAGTAATTGGCATCACTTTTAATACTCACAGTTAATATTGTCATATAATAATAATTTACGGTTTATTTACGAAGATCAACAAGCAGGAAGGATATTGTGTTTGTTTATTACAGTGTGGTGGTGAGGCGTGAGGGAGGCTCCCTTGACGGGTCCTGCCCCTGGTGACTGCAACCTACGCCTCACCAGGGGCAGGACACATTGCTCCTCTACTCAGACTGATCTGCCCAGGCGACACATGGCGAGGACCTCCTGTACTGTTGCTGCTGGTGACTCAAACTGACTCACCTCACGACGCACACAACGGCGTGAGGTGTTCCAACTACCACTATGATGTGACCACAGAGGCTACTACACCTGTAGTACAGCACCAACACCCGTGGTACACCACCTCCACCCGTGGTACAGCACCTCCACCCGTGGTACAACACCACCACCTGTGGTACAACACCTCTACCCGCCACAGTCCACACGGGTGGTGCAGGAGTCATGGGTGTTGTAGGTCCTGCGGCAGGTCTCCAACACCCCTGAAACACAGCAGGACTCCACCTCCTGCTCGACTCAGCGGCTCCAGGCAGCCTCCATCAGGAGGTCCTGACGACTCAGGACTTGTCAACGAACCATTTCCCTCACCTCACCTTGTGTTGTTGACACTGCAGTATTGTATTACAGCAATATGTAAAACTAATCATTTATTGTCTATCATTCCCACAATTCATCAGAATGTTGTAATATCACATCATCACTTGTCAAGGGTGTTCATACATTACCATAAAAGTAAACAAAGTTTTTATCATATTTACATTTACCACCCCCCCCCCTTGGCTGTGATCTAATGGTTGTTATTTCTGACTTTTTATTTCTATTCAATTCAAATTTCAATAAAAAATAATATTCAAGGATAATTTACTTTAAATTCCTCCTCTTATATAAATATGGTCGACATTAAGATGAGAGACACTCGTGCTAACTTACACCTAGAGACTCAAGTGTGTTAAAAAACTATTATGAGAGGAATTAAATATAGAAACCCAAAGAAACAAATTCCTAAAAGAACGACAATGATGAGGAATATTAACTGACAAAAATATGAAGAGATTAACGAAACGAAACATGACAAGGAAATACGAAATAAAGAAGAGGAAGAGAAACGCAGATGAAACAGATGAAGTAAATGGGTCGAAAATATATCACCAGAACTAGAGAGATTTGAGTTACTTCAAGACCTCGGTAAAGTAAACCTCATGAGAGAGAGAGAGAGAGATCTTTAGTCGTGATGGAGGGAGAGAGTACAGGAGCTGGCGGTGGGAGATACTACTTTAAACACAGTATCGCTTCAACCAACTAAATTTGGATTTAGGCGCGAAATAGGTAAACATTGGTTTAGAAATAGAGTAGTGGATGAGTGGAACACGTTACCAAACATCATCATTAACTCAAATACGCTGGATAGCTTCAAGCATAGGTTGGATGGGTATATGAGCAATAGGGACTGCCCAGTATGGACCAATAGACCCGCTGCAGTTTCCCCCATTGTGTTAGGATGGTTGAAAATGCACCAAATTGGAAGACAAAGTTTATTGGGTTCTATGGGAATTCAAATTAAAGTTGAAAAATGGTACGGTCACCTGATTTAACGGTCACCTGATTTAACGGTCACCTGATTTAACGGTCATCTGATTTAACAGCACCTGATTTAACGGTCATCTGATTTAACGGGCCACTGATTTAACGGTCACCTGATTTAACAACATCAGATTTTTTCTTAAAAGATTATCTGAAAAATAAAGTCTATGACGCCACAGACCTGCAAACTTAAGAGCTAAAAGCCAACATTCGACAGTGCATTAATGAACTCACAGCAGACACCCTCCGAGCTGCCATGAACAATGTACTGGCTTGATGCTGCAACGCCGAGCTGTCGTTTTGAAGGGCCACCATCTTAAGAGAACCATTTGTCAACATAAGTAATTAGAATTTTCATAGAAGAAACATTTTGGGGGCAATTTTATGTAATCTCAACCATCCTAACAATATATGTAACCTATCTCTATGGTGTCATGATAATGGTATACCCTGCTATTTTTATATCATTGTATAAATATATTCCGGTATCGTTAAGTTAATGTACTGCCGGATCGCTGTGTTCCTCTTTAGCTTGACGTAATAATAACAAAGAGAACATAAGACACAAACAGATAAGGAGGAGTATAAACAAACACAAACGCCTTAGAGAACAGGGACACATCTTGACCCTGAGACCCACAGGTGCATCTCTGAATGGTCATGATAACGATGACCTACACATCTCCCCTTCAAGACTTCACAATAGTTTCACCTATAAGTCTGTTCTATGTTTCAACTTTAATTGCCCTTGACCTTTTGACCCTTAAACAGCAATTGCATATCTTTAAATAGTATTGATGATTTATTTTCACTTTTAAATCGATCTATTCTGAATTATAAGACTTTTTTGGGGCACAAGGAAAATATTTTCATCAGTATTCTTAGCAATAATAACTTTAACCTTTGACCTCGCGACCCCTGGAAATTTAATTCACATCTCTGAGTGACATTGATAATGACCGTGAACTTAGTGACAATTTTGAGTAACAGCAGGAACTAGAAACAAGGCAATTTAGTAGAAATGGTTTGTTTCTCTCCCATTAGTGAGAAAGGAGTCACACACAACATGACTCAACCACTCGCTTGACACAACTTACACCACTTAACATACAGATTACTCACCACACTTAACACACTTTCTGATACTTATAAATCTTAAGTAACTTGTAGCAATGTAGAGATAGAGAGAAAGCGAGAGAGAATTAATACTATATTTTATATATAACTTTCATACGTCATCACCAGACACAACACTAAACGTCTTCAGGCAACAGGTGAGACAACAGGTAAGTTCATGTGATAGATAAAGACCTGGACGGAACAATATCACCTGGGTGACGTCACTGGTGACGCGCCACTTCACTGAGTCAGGGTCGCCACACAGCGCAATCCTCCCACCCGCCACCACCAGCCTTCCATTCTTACACCATCTAACGAAACTAGTTTGTGGCAGCGACGTACTCGATCACATATAAGGCGGCTCCCACTACTGACCAGACACAGTACAACTCCGACACCAGATCAGTGATGGCTGTGTCGCAGAGCTGGTGAGTTCTCCCACTTGTTCACACCCAGATCTACCTATACAATATAAAATATTTCTTATTTGCATGAAAAAGTCACCCTTATAAAGAATTAGTTTATCGTAAATCCCAAGTTGATACAATACATACACTTCAATTTCTACTAATGATGTCATTAGTATTGTAAATTTGTAATTGTCACTACTAGTTAGGTGTGCGATATCCATTTACCAGTAATTAGCATCACTTTTAATACTCACAGTTAATATTGTCATATAATAATAATTTACGGTTTATTTACGAAGATCAACAAGCAGGAAGAATATTGTGTTTGTTTATTACAGTGTGGTGGTGAGGCGTGAGGGAGGCTCCCTTGACGGGTCCTGCCCCTGGTGACGGCAACCTACGCCTCACCAGGGGCAGGACACATTGCTCCTCTACTCAGACTGATCTGCCCAGGCGACACATGGCGAGGACCTCCTGTACTGTTGCTGCTGGTGACTCAAACTGACTCACCTCACGACGCACACAACGGCGTGAGGTGTTCCAACTACCACTATGATGTGACCACAGAGGCTACTACACCTGTAGTACAGCACCAACACCCGTGGTACACCACCTCCACCCGTGGTACAGCACCTCCACCCGTGGTACAACACCACCACCTGTGGTACAACATCTCTACCCGCCACAGTCCACACGGGTGGTGCAGGAGTCATGGGTGTTGTAGGTCCTGCGGCAGGTCTCCAACACCCCTGAAACACAGCAGGACTCCACCTCCTGCTCTACTCAGCGACTCCAGGCAGCCTCCATCAGGAGGTCCTGACGACTCAGGACATGTCAACGGCCCATTTTACCCTCACCTCAGCTTGTGTTGTTGGCATTATACAATAAGTAAAACTAACCATTCATTGTCTAACATTACTATAATTCATCAGAGTTTTATATAAACTATACACTTGTATTAAGTTTGTATAAAGTATATTGCCAGATGTGAGATTCCTGTTTTAAGGAAACAAATTTAACATTACTACATTTACCTCCCATTGTTTCTGTATATTATATGTATCATTTCATACATAAAAGAACAATAGAACAACAGTGAATAAAATCTTAATAAAAATGTTTAGATTTTCTCTCAACCTTTCAGTGACCGGTAAAGTCATCAAGTTGTTGTTGATGTGTCGAGGACTGGTGATGGAAGGTCTCTCTTATGATTTATAATACACGAGTTGACTAATTAACAAAACCACCTTTGATCTTTCCATCCACAAGAACCTCATTAAAAATATGATGGAGCAAATTACGGACACGCACCTAAAACACACTCTTAAGAACCTCCACACTCAAACAGGATCTTTTTTCCTCCTCTCTTGACCGTGGCTCAACACAACACCAGATCACCTCTTGTACTGTTTAAGATTCGTGTGTACTAAGTTAAGCTCACACACACACACACACACACACACACACACACACACACACACACACACACACACACACACATTTTCCTCCTCTTTTAATCTACTCCCTCACGTTCCATCGTCCTCCTTCACTCCTCTCCATTATCTTCACTCGCCTTTCCTCCTCATCCTCCCTCTTTAGCACCACTTCCCCATCTCCATTTTCTCCCCTTATGTCTTCTCCACTCCACTTGTTCTCTTCCTACTGAGTTTCTCCCCTTCTACTCTATTTTTCCCTCTGCCTCCATCTACTCCTCAACTCCATCCATCTACTGCACCTCTCTCCCTCCCACTCCTCCACCTCCTCTCCCACTCCTCCACCTCCTCTCCCACTCCTCCACCTCCTCTCCCACTCCTCCACCTCCTCTCCCACTCCTCCACCTCCTCTTTTAACACCTCCACCTCTGTTTTCCTCTTCTGCTCCACCTTTACGTTGACTCTCTCCTCTCTGTTCCTCCTCGTACTCCACTCAAGCCGCGTGTACCTGGCTCTCGTGGTGCTTACCTACAACCCAGGTACCACCAGCCGTGGAGGACCACCTGGGGTCCTCCTCCAGTTGGTGCTCGAGACCCTGGTTGGCCTCCTTCACTACGCCGCCACTCACCCACCCCAACACCCGGATTTTCAAAGGTTCCTACAATATTTTTGATCTCCTCAAGATTAGACACCCCAGCTTATTTAACTTGAAGATTAATCACCCTAATACCAACCTAAGTTAACCTAACACTAGCCTAATCTAACTTAATCTAACCTAACCCAACGCTAACCTAACCCCCTCTTTCAGGTATCGTTAGGGTCGTTAATCTTCAGGTGAAATAAGCCGAGATTCTTGAAGTGATATAAACTGGGGTGTCTAATCTTCAGGTGATCTCTTCCTCGCCTCTGGTCGGGATGCGCCTCGGGCCGTTCATCCCCATTCTTGTTTATTCTTGCGTGAGTTATTCTCGTCCTCGACCATTCAAGTGTTAAGTGGTGGTTGGGGGGGGGGGGGGGGGAGGGAGATGGTGGGGGAGATGGTGAGGGTGGTGATGGGAGGAGGGCAGGAGCTCTCACATAGGTAGGATCTGGTCGTAGGCGGAGAAGAATCCTGTCACGGGGGAAAGGATCTGTTCACTGGTGAGGATCCAGTCACTGGTAAGGATCCGGTCACTGGTAAGGATCCGTTCAATAGTACGGATCCTCTCAGTAGGGAGGATGAGGATGAGACCAGACACAGCAATAACCACCCCGGTGTTATTGATCCGTCACCCGAGTTTGTTCCTTCACACAAGTCGCCCCTCTCACACCCCCGACCCCCACCCCCGCGACCCTGTTGTCCTGCCTGGCCTCCCCACACTCTTCCCCTCAAGGCTTCACTAAGTCTACTGAATATTATGGTCAAAAGTATTTCTCCTCATTTCCAATCATTAATATATTTCTTTAACATTGAGAAATACTATGAAGAGTCGTCCTGTTATAAATGTGTGGGATTACATGAAGCTTAGCCCCCTCTCCCCCCTGCTTAAAGCTTATTTCACCTGATGATTAAACACCCTCACAGTACCTGGGATGGGGAGGAGTTAACGTGTTTAATCGTTATGTTAAACCAAGCGGTGTTGCCTAGTCTGTCATGTGATATAAGGAGTGTGTTTTAAGTATCATTCAGAGAGTCAAATTTAATATATTTAATTATCACATAAATTATTAACATTGTGAAGAAATGTTTAGTAATATGAGTATAGCGATCAGTGTGGCTTGTATCTGTGTCACCTGCGTCTGTATGTATGTCACTCCTGTGTATATTCTGGCATAGGAAGAAGACACAGTAGCTCCGAAATGTTACGTGTGACTAGTGACAGCCCTCATATACCAAAATTTATCGACCATGGTCTCATATTGTTCCCACAAAGTATGCACAGATAGTTGTTTCAGCTACTGTATATCTTTATCTATAACCTCCATCATAACAAGAGCTCCTACGTATGTGTGTCGCGGTTAAGAGATCAAAGGCGACGAGTCAGCACCTTCGTCTTACCTTCTACCTGTAACGGGTCAAGGTCGAAGTTACACCGTTAAGCCTCTTCCTCCTCCACACTACCGTAGTTACACCACATTAAACACTTCCTATACAGTATCCACCCCCACCCCACCCCACCATCATCATCATCATCATAAAATCTCCCCCTTCCCCCAAGTCTTCCTACCCCTCTCTTCCACCCACCCACCCCCTTCCTCCTGCATAGTCAACAAGGTTTGAGTATAATCCCTTCCTCTTTGACTCCCTCCTCCTCCTCCTCTTCTTCTTTCCTCCTCCTCCCCCCACTACCATCATCATCTTCCTCTCCCTCTTTCTTTCTTAACTCTCTGTTCCCCATTCGTCCTTCCCTCCCTCCTCACCTCCCTCCTAATATCCTCCTTCCTTCCTCTTCCTGACACCACCATGAAAATCTACTACTGTACACCCATCTACCAACACACACACACACACACACACACACACACACACTCTGTAACGCCAGTACATCCCCCCCCACCATTTACCTGTACAGTATATTGCAAATTTCAATATCCACAACACACACTAGTCAACCTGCCGGTACGTACAGTTAAATCAAGTTAATTATCTCATATGTCGGTTTCCCATGACGATTTACTGTACTCTCAATTTGTTTCCGGGTCAAGCTACATACAGTAAAACCTCTTTTTAACGGATTATATGGAGAGGAAAGTCCGCTATATTGAGAGTCCGTTAGATGTGAAACCTCTATTTAACGGACTATATGGACAGGGAATTCCGTTATATCGAGGGTCCGTTATAAGGAGGTCTCACAGTATTTATTATTGTTTTTATTTATAACTCGTTAATGTTACAGCATTTGATGGTTATTGGCCCTGTTAGTTAAAGTTTGTTTGGGTTAAGTTGTCCTCCTAGTCGTTAATGTTCTGGTTATCATAACGTTATCCTCTGCCGTAATAACTGGTCAATGTTACTATATACTGTATATATACGAAGGTTACACTGCGTTCTGTTGGTTAAAGTTGGGTTAGGTTAAATCAGGTCTGGTTAAGGTTAGGTTAGGTTAAGTACGATCAGGTTAAAGTTAGGTTAGGTCAAGTCAGGTCAAAGCCGTTAATGTTTCGATATCATAACGTTATCCTCTGCTATAAAAATGGTTAACGCTATAAAGGCTGAAATCCCTTATAACTAACAACGTAACTTTGTCTCTTAACACGAGGTGGTTAAGGTTCAGGTGTCGTAACGTTATCCTCCATCTATTCGTTTTAATTAGTCTTTACCTTTTTTCATCCATTATGCCAATTATCCCATTAAAAAATCTGTAATTAGCGAAGACAAATGAAGGATAAATGGGCCAAGGGTAAGTGGGTGGGTGGGTCAGGGTGGGTGAGGGATGGTGGGTTGAGGTGGGTTAGGGAGGGTGAAGGACTATCATCAATAATACGTGAGGGTCGCCAACCATTTTATAGAGCAACAATAACATTAATTACAGCGCCTTTGTCTGTGTAAGTGTAACCCTACCACCAGTCCTACCAGCTGCTGCCTACTGTACTTCTAGCCCTCATACCTCCACCTCCCCCTGCCTGACGACCAATGGTAACTCCCACGCACCTCCTCCTCCTACTCCTGCTGGTGCTGTCTGCTAATACCCCTGGCAGCAGCTGTTCCCTATATTCCTGCTAATTCCCTCGCTGCCACTTCCCTCGCTGCTAATTCCCTCGCTGCCACTTCCCTCGCTGCTAATTCCCTCGCTGCCACTTCCCTTCCCGCTAACACCACGACTACCCCGCCTGTCGCAGTCCTCTCCGTTCTTGCTGTTAATACCGTTTCCTTCGCTGTTCCCCTCTTGTACCAGCTGCTGCAACCATTACCGCACCAGTTGTTCCGTGCTGTTATGGCTGAACTGCCTCTCCACAGCAGTACACCTTCCACCTTTGTCCCCTTGTACACCCACGGATACACACAGCAGTTTTGAGAGTTTACAATAATTAGTATACATAAGAAACTGTTTACTGTAGACTACTGTGACATTATATTTACTGATATTATTATTATTATGATTATTACTATTACAACTACTATTGCTAATACTAGTTCTGTGGTACACGAGATCAGCCAAGTACCATAAGCTGACGCAATTTGTACTACCACACCTCTGACTCTACATGTGCTATATACCTGCTAGTTCACGCTCACACCTGGGACAGATAAACTATTCTTTTCCCTATTTCTTTCCTCCCCCTCCCACCCTTTCATCCCCTCTTTTTCATTTTCAATTCCTCTCTCTCTCTCTCTCTCTCTCTCTCTCTCTCTCTCTCTCTCTCTCTCTCACCATTCCCCCCTTCCACCCCATCTATCTATCTTCATCTCCCTTCAACATATAAGATATTGACAACACATACATACATACATACATACATACATACATACATACATACATACATACATACATACATATAAAGGCAAACCGGGCTACTCTGTGTGTGTGTGTGTGTGTGTGTGTGTACGAAAGTGGAAAGAGGAAGTTTCTACCATCGGTTTGGCTACACTGCCACCTGCTCCCTACACACGGGCTGTGAACACTACTGCTCGCTGTCAACCTCTTCCTCCCTCCTATCTCACACACACAAACACACACACACACACACACACACACACACAGATTA